TGGCTCTTAATGGCTCCTTGAGGCCCAGTTCCTGGGGCCACAGTGCCACATGTGGCCCCTGTGGGTGCCAGCTGGCAACTGCAGGCAGGGTGGTGGGTGCACAGGGGTGAGAATGCCCTCTCCCTGCAGGTTCCAGGCCCTGATTCCCTGACCCTGGGGGATGACAGCATCCGTAGCCTGGACTTTGTGTCTGAGCCAAGCCTGGACCTCCCTGACTACGGGCCTGGGGGCCTGCACTCCACCTACCCGCCGTCCCCGCCGCTCAGCGCCTCTGATGCCTTCTCAGGCGCTTTGCGTTCCCTGAGCCTCAAGGCTTCGAGCCGGCGGGGTGGGGACCACGTGGCCCTACAGCCCCTGCGCTCCGAGGGTGGGCCCCCCACCCCCCACCGTAGCATCTTTGCCCCCCATGCACTGCCCAACCGTAATGGCAGCCTGTCCTATGACAGCCTGCTAAACCCTGGCTCGCCCAGTGGCCACGCCTGCCCTGCCCACCCAACTGTTGGCGTGGCCGCATACCACTCACCCTACCTGCACCCTGGGGCAACAGGTGACCCGCCACGGCCCCTGCCCCGCAGCTTCAGCCCCGTGCTGGGCCCCCGGCCCCGGGAGCCCTCGCCTGTGCGATATGACAACCTGTCCAGGACCATCATGGCGTCCATACAGGAGCGCAAGGACAGGGAGGAGCGTGAGCGCCTGTTGCGCTCCCAGGCTGACTCGCTCTTCGGAGACTCGGGCGTCTATGACGCACCCAGCTCCTATAGCCTGCAGCAGGCCAGCGTGCTGTCTGAGGGCCCCCGAGGCCCCGTGCTGCGCTACGGCTCCAGAGACGACCTTGTGGCCGGGCCCGGCTTTGGTGGTGCCCGAAACCCTGCCCTGCAGACGTCACTGTCCTCATTGTCCAGCTCCGTGAGCCGTGCACCTCGGACGTCGTCCTCCTCCCTGCAGGCTGATCAGGCCAGCAGCAACGCCCCAGGGCCCCGGCCCAGCAGTGGCTCACACAGGTCGCCCGCACGCCAGGGCCTGCCCTCCCCGCCCGGCACTCCCCACTCACCGTCCTACGCAGGCCCCAAAGCTGTCGCTTTCATCCACACGGACCTCCCAGAGCCGCCGCCCTCGCTGGCTATGCAGAGGTGGGTGCTGAGAGGTGCGGGTGGGCTTCCTGCTACAGGGCAGCTGTCCAGCCGTCTGCAGGGCCCCTCCTGGCTGGGCACTCATAGGTCATCCCAGGGGCCTGTGTTTTTCTCTGGGGATGGGACTGGGCGGATGCGCCTCACCCTGCCTTGAAGGCCCTGGTTAGCCCATGTGGCCCAGCTCTGAGGACGTCCTGGGCACACTATGGGGACAGGGTATGAGAATTTGTGTCCTGAGCCCGACAACTCGTTCCTCCAGAGCTGGCATAGACCCAGCATGTGGGAGGGCTGTGGGGGTTTCTCCTTGGGGCTGGTGTCATGCAGCAGCCTGGGGCTCCTCTAGGCTGTGGCTCTGACCTCCTGGGTCACACTGTCCCTGTCCACCGGGGCCCTCCCTGGGCCTGCTTTGTTGCATCTCTAGGAGGCTGGGGCTGAGGACATTACCTAGCAGTAGAACATGTGACCCTGGGTGGCCGGGCCCTGGCCCTCCCTATGGCACGTAGTTCTAGGAAGCAGGGGCTTCCCTGCTCATAGGTGGGGAAACTAAGGAAGGCAGGCTGGCTGCCGGCACCCAGCAGGTTGGTAACTTGGAACGCACGGTCAGCTGCCTCACAGGCCCAGGCCCAGGCCCCGGTAGGAGAACTGCATGCCTCCCAGGGCCAGGACCCATGCTACTGACACATGGTGTCCTCATGGCATCCATGAGGTCTGGGCCTGAAAACCTCAAGCACAGGCTCAGTTGTCTGCCATCAGCAGATGTGGCCCCGGGCGTCAGCCCAGCCCAGCCCCGTTCACTTGGCCATAGAGGGACTGAGGGCACAGCAGTCAGCCCTGAGCAGGCCTCCCCTACTCCACAGGCTCGGAGTCTGCTCAGCTTTTGTGGCGTCAGGGAGCAGGCTGCCACTGGGTGTGATGGATAGAGAAGCCAAGACCTAGAAGTGGGCAGGAGGGCAGCCAGGCAGGGGCCACAGGCTGGGGACAAAGGGCTCTCACCTGGAGAAGTTCTAAGCAGCAAGGATAGAGATGCTGTTAGTCATCGCTGGTGGGCAGGAGGGCAGCCCCTTGTTTTCCTGAGGGCAGGCATGAGGCCTGGCAGAGGGGCTGGGCTCCCAGCGCAGGGCAGGGGCTCCATTCAGTGTCCACCTGGCTGCCCCGTGCTCTCTGTGGCCAGTGCCAGTTAGGAGGGACCCAGGGACTCGGGAGGGTGGTGGCAGTTGTGATGATATCTGTCTGTCCTGTGATGGTACAGCTGCTCCCCGGGCAGGCTTTGGGGCCCTGCCTGCTTTCAAGGTGAACCCTCTGAGCCCAGGGGGCAGGGGCTGCCGGGGGCCCCACCACACTGCTGCACCAGTCCACGTCCATTGTCTGTCCTGCTGCCTCCTCTGTCCGCTGTCCCCAAGTGTCCCCGTGTTCACCGTGTGCATGCGTGTATGTGCTTGTTTTGATGCAGGGCTCACCCTCAGCTGAAGACTCCCCCAAGTAAGCTTAATGGGCAGTCCCCGGGCCTGGCCCGGCTGGGGCCTGCCACCGGCCCCCCAGGGCCCTCTGCCAGCCCTACGCGGCACACGCTGGTTAAGAAGGTGTCCGGCGTGGGTGGGACCACGTACGAGATCTCGGTGTGAGGACTGACCGCCACCCATCTGCTGTGGTGCCACGGGGACCAGGACCCCGCAGCGCGCCCCTCCCCACCGACTTCTCTGCCCCAGGGACAGGAGGCCACCCCAGCCGGGGGTGGAGCCCTCGGCGGGAGAGAGAGCCACGCCTCCACAGCTTGCCCCAAGTGCTCCGCCTGTCCGTCCACTCATCTGACCATGGGGAAGTGGCTCGCTGGGCCAGGAGACACTGGGTGTCTGGGCCTGTCCCATGGCTGGGGCACTGAGGGGGCCCAGCCAGCCTCTTTGAGGCACTCTGTCTCAGCCAGGACTGGGCTTACTCCTATCACCCATGCACCCCAGATCATTGCCAGGCCAGCCCCAACGATCCCCTTACAGTCGGGTCCCAGAGATGGACAGAGGCCCCCAGGGCCCCCACCGTCCTTCTGACACACCCTGTGGGCTCCTGGACTGAGGGCCCCCCGCCAGCTACTCCTAACACATTGCCTTTCACGGACCCTGCTGGAAGCTCGTAGCCCAGCAAGGCTGATGCTTCTGCCCTGGCCTGCTCTGGGTGCTGGTGGACAGGGGAGAGATAGGCAGCCAGCCAGCTGTGGCGGGGCCTGGCTCCATGTGTCCTGTGTTGCCCGGCGGGCGGGCTCGTGTCCCGTGTCTGTGCTGTGCTGCTGCGCGTGTCACCGCGCCGTGTGATGTGTCAGTGCTCCAGCCGCCGCTGTCCCTTTCATCAAAGCCTTAACCTTTGCTTTATGCTCTTGTGGGAGGCGACGGGGGGGGGCAGGTGGGAGCAGGCATGGGGGTGATGCTGCCACAGGGGGCTGGTGATACCCAGAGCCCCCTCCCCAGCCCTCAGGCCTTCCCTGCCAAACTGGAGAATCCCCGCCCCCAGGCATGCCGAGTCCCCAGCCCTGGGCTGGCTGCGGGGCTCGCACCCTGTGGAAAGCACACTGGGGAGGCCAGCGCTTCCCCTGGCGTCAGGGACCCGAGAGCAAGCACACGACAGCGTCCGCTTGCGTTGTGTCTGCTTTATGTTTTTATATCTACGTCTATATATCTATAATTTTATTAAAAAAAGAAAAAGAGTTATTTTGATTCTTTCCTTGGGTGAGGCCAGGGCTGGTGCTGCAGGGCCCCCAGAGTTAGGGGGAGGGCAGGCTGCTGTCTGGTGTGCAGGGGTCATGGGGTCCTCTGGGGCATTTCTGCCAACTTGGGCTGCGCCAGGGGCCTGGGAGGAAGGGGTGGTTGATGGTCTGTGGCTGGGAAGTGTGAGTGTCTCTCACCTTGGATCTGCACCATTTCTGGCAGTGACAGGTTGTTTGGGGGAAGGACTTGGGTCTGCCACTACCTACGGGGGCGGTCCCAGGACGAAAGAGCTTGGAGAGATGAAATGGGGGTGCATAGGGACCACCTGCTGGCTCAGGACCCTGTTGGGGCCGCTGAACCTGCTGGAACTCTCCTACCTGCAAAATGCCAGGGGCAGGGCTGAGGGAGTGTGAGGGATTCACAGCTGTTTGGGGCTGAGGCGGCCTGGGTTGGGGCTGTCCCAGCGTGGGAGGTGTGTGGGCTGCAGGGCCCCAAAGCTGCGCTATGCTGACCTCCACCTTTCTGCTTCTCTCTCACGGACGCCGCGGCCCGCAGGGGGCGGATTGGCACCTGCACCCGTGGATGGGGGCGGCGTGGTCAGCCCTGGGTGCCCCCTGGGCTGCACCTGTGCCACCTTGGCCCCCCGGAGGACCGCCCACCACTGCGGGCCCCCTGGAGCCCGGCTGCTGGGGCGCCCCCACGAGGGGCCATGTGCCGCCTGCACTTGGCTGCCTCCAGCCTTTTCCCCAGCCTCTCCGGGCCCTAGCAGGATGACAAGTAGGCGGTTTTGGGGCCTGGGACAGCCTAGCTGGGGACGTGGGAGGTCAGGCTGCCATGGACCCCGGGGCAGGGCTGGGGGTGGGCTGGGCTCTCCTCTCCACCAGCCACAGCTCGAGAGACTCCCAGCCTGCCAGGGCCTGAGACCCTGTGTCCATGTGACCTCAGGGAGTCCCTCACTGGCTGCAGGGGGCCCAACACCCACAGCGGCAGCCGCAGAGCTGTGGGGACCAGCACGACCTTTGCCCAGCCTCCCTGCTTGACCAAGCACTTTAGAATAAGCCACTTCCTCCTTGGGGAGCCCAGGCCTCCATGGGTTTGGCTGGGGGGGTGGGTCTCAGGTTGCCCCCGAAGGTCTCTGCACTCCTCCTGCCCTTCCCCTGACACATGAACAGATGCCTTAACTTCCTGGAGCCTCCAGCCTGGTGAGCCATTGACCCCTGCCTGCCACCAAGGTCCTGTGGTCGTGGCCAGCTCTGCCCAGGCCCCACTGGGGCTGCCTGCACCCAGAGACGATGCCACTGGGAGGTGAGGGCCCATGGCCCAAGCCCTGTGTCCTCCAGCAGTTGGCATGGCCTGCAGCACAGTGGCACTCTGGCCAGCCCTTCTCTGGCACAGGGTCCCTGTCCCTGGGTCCACCCTGGGCTGTGGCTCTATTTCTCCCATTTTGGGATGAGAAAGCCACAAAGCTGTTGTTCTTAAGGGTACCCCTGCCAATTCCCCAAATAAAATTTTGGTGTTGATCTCCACAGCTCTCTCTAGCAATGTGGTTCCCGGGACTGGACTGGGCCCTGGGTCGGGAGGGTGACAGGACCTGGGCAGGGTGGGTGCTGGCCAGGCGGGGAGGGGGGTTGCCTGAGGGGCATGAGGTCAGTTGGTCAGCAGGCTCAGCGCTGAAAACCTGACCTCTGATGTCTCCAGGAGGGCCTGGCCTGCGGGGAAGACCTGAGGACCCCCCCTCAGTCCTGCTGTTTCCTTTCAGGGGAGACCCTCCTAAGATGCCCTGGGGGGTCACGGCCCCATGTGGAGGGCCTGCCTTCTGGAGGGCAGGTGGGATGTGGGTGGGAAGCCAGCCCTGAGGCTGGGGTCTCCACCCAGAGGGACCCTTGCTGCTGGATTGCCCGGGCGTCCCTTCCCCGATTTCCACAGAGACACGCTCATAGGCCAGGTATGTCATGACTCTATGTCCAGCTGCAGGCCCAGTCCTCAGGACAGACCCCGCCTCCACCCTTCTCTGCAGCTCCTGGCTTGGACGGTACACACTGGTGCCGTGGGGGCTGGCACGGCCACTGGGCATCTGGGACAGTGCTGGCCGCCTGGCCTCCTCCTCACTGTGGCCACTTGGCCTCCGGCCTAGAAGGGCAGGAAGCCGTCCACCTCGAGGTGCAGGAAGGGGCCCAGCAGGGCCCGGAGCTTCCAGACAGTGGCGCGGCTCAGCAGGGGTGGCACCAGCCCCTCGAAGGGTGTGGGGTTCACCACGTACACGTAGGCAGAGGTCCAGACCAGCAGGGCCCCCAGTAGCAACCTCAGGGTCAGCAGCCTGCGGGCGGCGATGGTCAGGGGCAGGGACACGGCGGGGGGGGGGAGCGCCTGGGGGCTGGGCTCTGTTTCGAAGTCACCTACCAGAGTTGGCCTGCCAGGCCCTTGGAGCTTAACAGCTTTGGCCTCCCTTTCTGTTGGGGAGGGGCTGGATCAGAGCCCACCCCAAGGGTACAGGCTGAAGAGTGGGGAATCTCTGGCTTTGGGAAACCCTCCTAGACAGAGGTTCCCCCACCACAGCCCTGGCCCCTTCCTCTTGGACAGGCTCCTGCAGCTACTTTTCAGATGCCCTCCTGCCCTGGGCCTGCCCTGCTGAAGCCCATTTCTCCCACTCCTGCGGGCAGGGCCCTGGGTTTCGGGGCTGGTCTTCCAGATCCAGAGTGGGGTGTGGGGTGCTCACCGCCATGCTTGCCATCTGCTGCTCCTTCCTGGCCTGAGTGCGGCACTGGGCCCGCTCCCTGCAGGGGCCTCACTGTCAGGACCCCATGCCCTCCACCCCCAGCCTGGCACCACCCCCTGGCTCGGTGCTGTGGAGGTGGGGGGTCAAGGATGGGTCTCCCCCATCCTGACCAGGACATCTTCTGAGACCCTGCTCAGTCGGCCTGGGCCCAGCCCCACATTACCCCAGAATCTCCAGCTGGATGTCCTCCATCTGGTCCAGCACGTCCCGGATGTCCTTCTTGAGGTTCTGGGGGCCAGAGGAGGTAAGCACAGCAGCCCCCTGCCCCGCCCTCCCTGCCTCTTACCCGCCTGCTCCGTCCTTCCAGGTGCTGCCCGGTGGGGACCTACCAGGAGCCCGGTGGCCTGGTTGTTCAGGGCCGTGTGCACCTCAGCCACGCTGTCCCACACCTGGGGGGAGGTGGGGTCACACCTGAGGAGCAGACCCACCAGGTGGACCCCCAGCACTCCTCCCCCTCAGCCAGCCGGGCACCTCTGTGATGACCGTCTTCTTCCTCTCGAAGCACAGGCGGATCTGCTGCAGCTCCTTCTGAGGGTGGGGTCCAGGGTGGGCTTGGGCAGCATCAGCAGGGTGGCTGGTACCTCCCTGCCAGGCCCACTGGCCTGCTGCATGAAGACCCCTCCCCACCTGGAGTGCTGCACTCGGGTTCCTCCCCCCACAGCCCCTCCCCCCCACCGAGGCCCACCTGGGACTGCTGCACGAAGGCCTCTTGCCCCTGGCACAGCCCCTGCCGAAGTAGCTGCAGAGGCACCCTGTCCCCCAGGGGCTGCTTGCTGGCTGGCTCTGGGGTCTGTGGGAGAGCCCCCAGATCAGCCCCAAGGCCATGGGCTAGTGGGGTGTTGGCTGCATGGGGTCCTCAGGCCCTGCACTTACCCAGGCCAGGGAGGTACAGCCTGAGTGTTCAGGACACAGGGGCAGGAACTGCTTCCCCGGCCCCAGGAGGGCCCCCAGCTGCTTCTGAAGGTCCTGGTTCTGCCTTTTCTGCGGATGGGGGGCCGAGAGATGGGATTGCCTGTCATGGCCACTCCTGGGGCTGGGGCTGGGGCAGGGGTGCCAGGTGGTGGGTGGGGTGCTCACCAGGCTGTGGTTCTCCTGTTCCAGCTGCAGGAAGGACTGTTCTGTAGAGCCCAGCGGCCCGCACTGCAGCTGGGAGAGGGCTGCCCTGGGCGAGGCCAGGGCCCCTCCCTCCGGCGACAGGGGTGGGCATGGGCAGGGTCTGGGCCCCAAGCCAGTGGATCCCACCTGCCTGGAAGCCCCCTGGTTTGTCCCTGGGTGCAGGGGCCTGGCCCACCGGAGCCCCGCCTCCAGGTCTCCTTGTCTTGGCCCCTCAAGGTCTCTCATTCTCTGCTCCTCACTAGACAGAAAGGTCCTGGGAGTCTCGCCCTCCACCCTGGGCCCCCTGCCCTCTGTCTCTGGGACTGGGAAAGGTCTCTGGGACTGCACTAAGTGAGCAGAGGAGATGGGGCCCAGGCAGGGTTGCTCCAGGCATCCTCCATGGCTGCTGGAGGCTGGGGCTGGGGCTGGGGGACACTGGGGGTGGGGGTGGCCACCTGGGCCCAGGGTTTTCAGCCCCTGCATCCCTCCCTGCAACCCCTTCCTGACCCCAGGTCCGAGTTCTGGCCTGGCCCAACCTACCACCCTCTTATCTGGGCAACCCACTGGCTCCCAAGCTGCCCCAGGCGACAGTCACAAAGGCCTAGGTGAGACCAGGGAGGTCACAATGGGCCGCTCCCACCTGGTCCTGAAGCTACTCTGCCTGGTGACCTCACTGCCTCTGACCCACTGACCCAGAAAGAATTCTTTTTCTTTCTTTTAATGAGAGAGAGTCCTGCTCTGTCATCCAGGCTTGAGTGCAGCGGCACAGTGATGTCTCATTTCTCCAATTCCTGGGGTCAAGCAATCCTCCCACCTCAACCTCCCAAGTAGCTAGGACTATAGGTGTGTGCAATCATGTCTGGCTAATTTTTAATTTTTTTCTTTTTTTGAGACAGAGTTTTCGCTCTTGTTACCCAGGCTGGAGTGCAATGGCGCAATCTCTGCTCACCGCAACCTTCACCTCCTGGGTTCAGGCAATTCTCCTGCCTCAGCCTCCTGAGTAGCTGGGATTACAGGCACACGCCACCATGCCCAGCTAATTTTTGTATTTTTAGTAGAGACGGGGTTTCACCTTGTTGACCAGGATGGTCTCGATCTCTTGACCTCGTGATCCACCACCTCGGCCTCCCAAAGAGCTGGGATTATAGGCGTGAGCCACCGCGCCCAGCCTCAAATTTTTTAATAGAGATTGGGCTTTTGCTATGTTGCCCGGGCTGGTCTTAAACTCCTGGCCTCAAGTGATCCTCTTGCCTCAGTCTCTGAAAATGTTGGGATTATGGATGTGAGCTACCACACCCATCTAGTCATTTTTCTTAAATGTGAAACAGATACACACACACACACACACACACACACACACACACACAGTGTGTATTCAAAAAATGTCGGCTCAAGCCGTCTCTACTAAAAATACAAAAAATTAGCTGGGCACGGTGGCGCGCGCCTGTAATCCCAGCTACTCAGGAGGCTGAGGCAGGAGAATCTCCTGAACCCAGGAGGCGGAGCTTGCGGTGAGCAGATATCTTGCCATTGCACTCCAGCCTGGGTAACAAGAGCGAAACTCCACCTCAAAAAAAAATATATATATATCAAATAATGAATATGGCATCTGAGCCTTTCCCAATTGCATCTCCTGTCCCTGCAGCCAGGAGCCTCCTCTTTAAGCTCCTCCTGCAGTTGCCATCTCCTCCCCTTGTTCACACGGAAGAGGTCATCCTGCAGCCCAGCTTTCTTTTCACCGAATGTATCTCTGAGGTCTTTAAACCATTCTTTTCTAGCTATGTATTGAACATTTACTTTATGCCACATCCAGTACATGCCATCATTATCCTCGGTTTACAGGTGGGGAAACTGAGGCAAGAAGCCCTTTAGTCACTTGACAAAGGCCATGCGGCTGTTACAACCAAGCCACCGGGTGGGGGGGCCGGATTCACATCAGGACCCGTTCCCTCCTGCTCCCTGGTGCTCCTCACACCGCTGGCCCTGCTGCCCTTCACTGCCCCTGAGACCCTGTACCCGTGCCCTGCTCCTTCTCGAACCCCTCAGCCCTCAGCGAACCCTCAGAAAGCTGGCTCCGAGAAGTCCTCATGTGGGAGGAACAGCCGCGTCCCCTCCTCTCCCAGTGTCCTGGCCCCGCTGCAAGGTGACTCAACCTCCTACATCCAGAGGCGGGGCCCGCTCTCCACCCCTGGACTCTGGACCGGCCTCAGATGCACTTGGCCAATGGCTGCTCCTAAGCTCTTGTGGACAGTAGCTGGCACCACACTTGTGCGCTGGGCCTGGACCTCTCTTGCTTGGCTCTGGGGACTGTTCTCTGTGCAGGAGGCCTGGGCTGGACTCCAGGATGAGAGGCCACGGGACAGGAGAGGCTTCTGTCATCCCAGCTGGTCCCCAGCTGCCTGAAGATGGGTGGGCAAGCCCAGCGAGACCCCCAGAGAACCGGCCCCTACGGCCAGCCACGTTGCAGCCACATACCGCCGAGCCCCAGGCTGTCACGTGGTTTTGCCGCTGAGTTTTGGAGTGGGCTGTGATGTGGGAGGAGATATTGAGAGGGCTCACAGGCCTAGAAGCATCTTACCCTGACCTCACACCTGCTAGACATTGGGCTGGGGGAAGAATCGGGGCTGAGGGTGTTTCCCACAGGAATGGAAGGCCGGTTGTGGTCCTCGGTGCTGGGAGCTCTCCACGAGGCCTTCTCCCTGGAATCCTGCAGAGCTTATGAGAGAGGGTCCTGCTCTGTCATCCAGGCTGGAGTGCAGTGGCACAGTGATGTCTCATTGCAACCTCCAACTCCTGGGCTCAAGTAATCCTCCCACCTCAGCCTCCCAAGTAGCTAGGACTACAGGTGTGTGCAACCATGCCCAGCTAATTTCTAATTTTTTTTTTTTTTTTGAGGCGGAGTTTCGCTCTTGTTGTCCAGGCTGGAGTGCAATGGTGCGATCTCGGCTCACTGCAACCTCCGCCTCCTGGGTTCAGGCAATTCTCCTGCCTCAGCCTCCTGAGTAGCTGGGATTACAGGCACGCGCCACCATGCCCAGCTAATTTTTTGTATTTTTAGTAGAGATGGGGTTTCGCCATGTTGACCAGGATGGTCTCGATCTCTTGACCTCGTGATCCACCCACCTCGGCCTCCCAAAGTGCTGGGATTACAGGCTTGAGCCACCACGCCCGGCCAAGTTCTAAATTTTTTACGGAGATGGGGCTCTCGCTATATGGCCCTGAGAGGTCTTAAACACTTTGTCTATCTACAAGAAGCCCTCTGATGCCTGTGCCTCTGGGGTCACACCAACTGCGGGTGCTTGGTGAGCACATTCTGCCTCGAGACCTGACATTTCTGTGATCACGTTTCTTCTCGGTCCCTGCTCTTTGCAGAGCTCCTGTCAGTCAGATGTTGGGCCTTTTGAATTGATCCCGTGAGTCCTTCTTTCCGCCTTTGCTTGTAGATAGACCTCCCTGCATCCAACACATGCTGTCTCTCTGCTTTTCAAAAACTTGGTTCTGGGGCCAGGCACGGTGGCTCTCTCCTATAATCCTAGCACTTTGGGAGGCCGAGGCGGGCAGATCACGTGAGGTCAGGAGTTCCAGACCAGCCTGGCCAACATGGTGAAACCCCGTCTCTACTGAAAATACAAAAATTAGCTGGACATGGTGGCAGGTGCCTGTAATTTCAGCTACTCGAGAGGCTGAGGCAGGAGAATCGCTAGAACCAGGGACGGAGGTTACAGTAAGCGGAGATCCTGCCATTGCCCACCAGCCTGGGGGACAGAGCCAGACTCTGTCTCAAAATAAATAAATGAATAAAAATGAAAACGTTGGTTTGGATTTTTTCCTGCTTTTCATTTCCAAGACATCCCCATTGTTCCCTGAGCTCCCCTCTTAGAATTCGGTTCCGCTCTTAGGAATAAAGTGGGTTTGGGGAGGCGAATCTTTTGCTTTCTGCATTTTCTCTCTTGTGGTTCTCTGTTTAGTCTCGGCACTTCCCATGAGATTCAGTGCTCAAATGTCTGATTTTCTTTCTTTTCGATCCCTGTTTACAGGGGAGGCAGGCGGAGCTGCCGGGTGCTCCTCTCTTGCGGTTAACTTGAGACAGCCGGACAGCTGGGTCCCGGAAGGGAGGCCTCCTGCCTCCTGCCTCCTGCCTCCTGCCTCCTGCCTCCTGCCTCCTGCCTCCTGCCTCCTGCTGTTGTCCTGCCATGCCTGCTTGCAGCACATGTCTCCTCACTCCAGTGACAAGGCCACTGCTGGCCAGCCACTCGCCTTCCTCCTGCCAGGCCGTCCTGCCTCGTCTGCCTCCGCTTTCCACCTCAACAAGTGTCTCGAAATACCTTGTCCGCAGATGACGTCTCTCTTGTTCTCGGTGCCACGTGGCCTCCCCAGCGGAGGTGCTGGACACCTGACCCTGGCTGCCGGAGGCGTCTGCTTAGCTGCCAGAGGGCGGCGGCAGCTCCAGGACCCTCCCTGGCCCCTGCCCTGTTCATTCCTTCCTGCAATGTCATGGGTCTCAGCATGTGCTGAGCTCAGACACCCCATGGGGCAACCTGGGATGGGGGCTGAGGAAGGCCTCTTGGAGGAGCCCTGAGGCGAAGTGGCCCTGGGCTGGGCTGGAGGTGGCTGTGATCAGCAGGGGTGGGGGCTGTCCCCTGCTCTGTGTGTCCCTGAGTGAGTTGGGGGGGGCTGTCCCCTGCTCTGTGTGTCCCTGAGTGAGTGGGGGGGACTGTCCCCTGCTCTCTGTGTCCCTGAGTGAGTGGGGGGGCTGTCCCCTGCTCTGTGTGTCCCTGAGTGAGTGGGGGGGACTGTCCCCTGCTCTCTGTGTCCCTGAGTGTGTGGGGGGGCTGTCCCCTGCTCTGTGTGTCCCTGAGTGAGTGGGGGGACTGTCCCCTGCTCTGTGTGTCCCTGAGTGAGTGGGGGGGACTGTCCCCTGCTCTCTGTGTCCCTGAGTGAGTGGGAGGGGCTATCCCCTGCTGTGTGTCCTTGAGTGAGTGTGGGGGGGCTGTCCCCTGCTCTGTGTGTCCCTGAGTGAGTAGGGGGGACTGTCTCCTGCTCTGTGTGTCCCTGAGTGAGTGGGGGGAGGCTGTCTCCTGCTCTGTGTGTCCCTGAGTGAGTGGGGGGAGGCTGTCTCCTGCTCTGTGTGTCCCTGAGTGAGTGGGGGGGCTGTCCCCTGCTCTGTGTGTCCCCAGCCTGCTAGGTGCCCCACAGGGGCCAGGATGCTGAGGAGGGAGAGGTCTTCATGGGGATGGGTGGCTCCTGTAATAACGAGATGACACTGGCTTCCTGGGGGAACAGCAGGGCAGGGTCCTTAGGTCCCACCATAGGTGCCCAGTCTTGGCTGAGATTCCCCAGTGTCCCTGAAGGGGCGCCTGGGACAGCCCGTGGCCCCTTGTCCTCCTGTCACCCTCGACCCTGGGCACCGCCCTCCTCGGCCTGGAAACCTGAGCTCCCTGACACCCCCGCCCCTCTCCCAGCCTGTGCCCAGGAAGGCTGCTGTTCTCTTAGTCAGCCCTGAAGCCTTTCCTCCCCAGCCTCCTCACCCCTCCCTTCGGTCCTTGCCAATTGCCGGAGCTGGAGAAGGTGGGAGACTCTTGGAGAGACAGGGCCCTGGGGTCCTCCACTCCCAGGGTCAGATGCTAACAAAGGCCAAGCGTCCTGCCAAGCAGTGTCCAGGATTGGGGTGGGCATGGGGGTTTGCCTCAGGTCCGGGCTCCAGGATGTCGTGCAGGACAGGGCGTGTCCGCAGTGGGGACACTGGCTGGAAGCCGGAACTCCCGGCCTCGAGGGCGGAAAGTGTGTGGCCAGCACTGCGTGCTGGGCGGGGCCATGGCCCCGTTGCCAGGCAGCGCCTCCCTGTACGCCAGTTGCCATGGAAGCCGCTTCCTGCCCATGTTGCCACGGCATCCAGATGGCCTCGGGGAGCCTGGTGCAGAGGGGCTGCCCTGTGTCCTTGCCCCTTGTCCGCTGCCCGGGAATGGGTTGGGAGGGCAAAAAGGATCAGAGGCTGGGATGCGCAGCATGGAGACCTGAGTCCTTCCTGCGGGAGCCGGGCAGTGGCCCAGGGCAGGGGCCGGATGGGGCTGTTCTCCTGTCCACTCTGCGGCCTTGAGGTTCCATGCCCCCAGCTTATTATTTTCTATTTTTATTTATTGAAGACCCTGCCTAGGCTGGAGTGCAGTGTTGTGATCACAGGTCACTGCAGCTTCCAGCTGGGCACAGGGGATCCTCCTACCTCAGCCTCCCATGTACTGGGGACCATAGGTATGTGCCACCCTGCCCAGCTAATTCTTTATTATTTATTTTTGTAGATACTGGGTCTCGCTTTGTTGCCCAGGCTGGTCTTGAACTCCTGGCTCAAGTGAGCTGCCTGCCTCAGCCTCTCAAAATGCTAGGATTACAGGTGTGGGCCACCTTGCCTGTGCTAGACTGCCCCCAAGCATATCTCAAAAGCCAGGAACAGGCCCTGAGTGGGTGGAACTCAGGGTCAACGGATCAGCCACAGCCCTCAGGGGACCCTGTCTCTGGTGCACCCTATGCTCCTGGCCCACACCAACCCAGGCTGCCTGTCAGGGTCTGTTCCCTCAACAGCTCTCAGAGCTACCCTACGTGGAGGGTTGGGGGTCCCAGAAAACCTGGGAGAAATGGCGGTGGGCCCTTTGTGGGCACTATCCCTTCATGTCCACCCAGAGTCTGGGCTGTGATGCTCCTTTGCTTCAGGAGGGTAAGAGGTGCATGTGGCCTTTGGGGGCCCATGGGGGCTCCAAGGGTGGTCTTGGGCCTCTCGAGTTCCCCTGGACTCACAGCCAAGAGGAGGGGTCTGAGGGGCGCTGTGTGAGGGATGCGGTGGCTTGCAGAGTGCCGGCCCTATCCAGGGCCAGGGTGGTGAGTGGACACATGTCCTGAGTGCCAGGAGCCTCCCTTGCCTCCCCACCCTGTGGGACACCACCGAGGGGACAGAGAACAGATGGGGGCTGGGTCCTGGGAATGGGGTATGGGGGAAGGGCAGAGTGCTGGGGATGCTGGGCCCACAACATCCCTGTCCCTGGGGCCTTCCCATGTCAGAGGCGAGGCTGGAGAGGTAAGGATGCACCCTTTGTTAGCCCTGGCCCCAGCATGGCCAAGCCACTCCCAGCGTGCGGGAGAGGGCAGGCCATTTGTCTCCCTCCTGAGTGAGTCTCTGGACACTGCTTCTCACATTTTTTATTTAAGAATCAGAGAGATAATAAGAATGTCATGGAAAAATCCTCTCACAGACAATGCAGCCACATAAATGACTGTCAGCCAGGGCGTCCAGGGCTCCAAGGCCCCAGGAGGTGGCTGTGCTGGGGCTGTCAGGCCCCTGGCTCCAGGGTTTCCAGGGCTGAATTGAATGTGCTCACCCCTGCCCAGGCCCAGTGACAGCCTGCCCCTGAGGAGCCCACAGGCTTGGCCAGTCCACCTTTTTGGTGCTCCCCGCCCACCTGCCCCTCCTAGTCAGACAGTGGAGCCTGGGAAGACAGTGTGGCAGAGTGCCTGATGGTCAGTGCCAAGATCATCTCCCAGGTCCTTTCAAGAGCCAGGACTCCTGCCCTGTGCCCGCCCTGCATCAATTGGGGTCCAGGCTGCCCATTGGAGCAGGAAACACAGTGCTGGGCTATGAGCTCCTGGGGCCTGTCTCTGTGGCCCAGGACCCGGCTCCTGGGTTGAGGGAGAGATCAGGGGCAGGTGAGGAGCAGCAGCCCCACTCCAGAATCCCTCCATGCCCACCCCTGGTTTTCTGGGGACTTGTGTGCAGGTACCGGCTAGAGCTGCGGTGCAGTCCCCAGTCTCACCACGAGATGGCGCCATGCCACTGCAGATGCAGTGCCCACAGCAGGCCAGGCGTTCTTGGCAGCAGCAGCCCAGGGCGTCCACCCAGGAGAAGCACGGGCAAGGTAGGGGCAGTGCTGGGGGGATCCCCTCCCCACTTGGATCTGGAGTTCCTATGGGCCTAGGTCAGGGGCTGGCTGGTAGCCAGAAGTCCCCTTGCTGAGTCAAGGGTGTCTATCCCACATTTTACATGGAGAGGAATTATCCCAGACTCACCTGGCACTGTCCTGGGGCCCTTGCCTACCCCTCCTAAGGGACTGGGCTCCTGTCTTGGGACCTTCCCAGGCATAGTGGCTTTCGGGCAGCCATGGCCTGGCCTCAAGTTGACCTACCTGTCAGTGGGCAGCTGGGGCTGGGAAGGGTTCCCAGCTCCTGTCCAAGGTCACGACTGCCCCTGACCAGTGTGTGGCAGCCGCTATCGCCTGGGCCAGTGAGTCTGTGGCTGGAGAGTGACCCAGGTGTAGACGTGGCTCTCAGCTAGGAGAGTCCATCTGGAGGAAGAACCTGAAACCAGAGGGACCCTGGGTTCCCAGCCTGCGGGAGGCAATTAGGGTTAGCAGCGGCCCCCTGCAGGGACTCCAAGAAGCAAACCACGTGGAGAGTCACCTGAGAGCTGACGATGGAGGCTCCACCTCCAACTGCTGCCTTGGCCCTCAGATAAGGGGAGGGCGGGAGGCTGGCCCTGGCTCTACCCTGGGAGATGCCACCGGGCCTTTGTCTGGGGTGGAGGCCTGGCAAGAGGCTGGGTATGGCCACTGCTCTGGAGTTGCCATACATTTCTGCCCTGCTTGCCTCATTCTTCTCCTGAGGGCCTCAAGGGGACACGTGAGAGGGTTACTGGGGCCAGGGCTAGGGAGGCCTCTCAGCACTGGCCTTCTGGGGCCCTGTGTCCTCTCTGCCCCTTTCTGACCTGGACCTGGGCTGGGGCCTCTGCCTTCCCCTGGGCCTGGAGACAGGCCATTTTGGAGGTCCTCAGGCCCAACAAGCCTGCTCCTTGGAGCCAGGCTGGGGGCTGGGCTGTATCCTGGTGGGATTGGGGGATCTGGAGTGTGGGGTGGGAGTGGAGCTTGGAGCAGTTGGAGGTTGGTGCCTCAGGCTCTGGGGAATGGGCCTGGGATGGCTGGAGGGTGGAGGAGGGCCTCTCTCAACCCTGGGCTTTGGGGTCTGAGCCCAGCCCTGTTCCCAGACAGGCAGCCCCCTGCAGCCCCAGGTTCCCATGTTGGTTGGAGCTGTGATGAAAGGTACCGGGGCCACCCTTGCCTCTGCCCAGGACACATAGCCAGTAAGTCACACTCCACTGCCCAACTATGGGGTTTCAAGCCCCACTGCAGCCTCCAGGTGGGCCCTTGGACAGCAGGGCCTCTTGGGGGGAGGAGGGGACACTGGGAAGTCGGGGACCAGGCGGGGAAGGGAGAGAAGGCAGGCGCACAGTCGTGTGGGCACCCACCCCTTCCTGAGCTGACTGCGGTCTTCCCAGTCCACCCCACTCCAGTCCTCTGGGCCGGCTGCCAGGGGTGCTGCTCGAGGCCAATACCTCCCTAGAAGAAGGTCTCACCTTCAGCTTGTTGCCCCTGACCTGGAGTTCGCCTAGATCAACCGAGAGGCTGATCTTTGGGCCTCAGTTCTCCCATCCTCAGGGAGCAGGTCCTCTGTCCCCTGACAAGACCTCTCCCCTCTGAGCCACCACTGCTGCCAGGGTTGTGACTGGCGGATGTCCCTCAGAGAGTGGCTCTGGGCCCTCAGGCAACCAGCCACTCTGGGGTGAGGGGTGGTCTGCACATGAATGCTGTCACTCTTGGGTCCTTTGGTTGAAGCTGGCTCTGCTGAGCGCAGCCTGCAAACATTTTTAGGAAAACTCAGTCCACAGGCCGGGGCTTTCTGCTTCCCCCCAACCCAAATGGCCCCCAGCCAGTCAGAGAGCCTTGAGAACCCAGCTGCTAGCAACTGCCAGCAGGAAACCCACACAGGGGAAGCCCATCCCCGCAGCGGGCCCCTCCTCCCCGCCCCTCTGCTGACCGACCTGGCAGCTCCACGGGTGGGTGTGGCCGCCCTGCTGCCCCCACCTGCTCCCGAACCCTGTGCTGGGCAGTCCCTTGCCTCAGCAGGGCCTTGCCTCCCCCAGAGCTGCTCTGCTGCCTGACCTTGTGATGTCATGGGTCCTCTGGGCACTGGTGCAGTCGGTGGGGTCAGCTTTGGCCAGCAGGTGGGGGGCCGTTGATGTCAATCCTCCTCCCTCTCTGCTGTTTCCGCTTCCCTCCACCTGCCCAGCTTCCCTGCTTTTTCCCCACTCTGGCCCCAGGTTGCACTGCGCAGAAAGGTGTTGCTGCCCACTGGTGTTCAGGCCTGATGTTCTCGGGAGCCTGGGCTAAGACCCTGACCGGCCCTCCCACCACCAACCTACACCACCACCCAGCTAGCCAGCAACAGGACCAGGAGTGGTCAGGAGGGAGCCCCCACGACCACCCACCCGGCGCCCACAGCCAGCTAACTCTGCCCGCTCAGGGCCGTGAGCTGGAGGTGCCAGGACTCCTGGAAGCCGTGTGGGGCATTCTTCTCCATAAGTCCCAAGTCGATGGTAAAGGGCAGTCTCAACCCCTCGCTAATGTGCAGTGAGCAGTTTCCCATACAGGGGAGATGTTTAATTTATCCAGGGAACTGGGCGAAAGTTATAAAAATGGTAATTTCTTGGAGATTCAATTACATGTTTTCATTGTTACCCTCAGTAATCAAGGAAATGATTTTTCACAAAAGGCTGTGAGATGATACTAATCTCAGGAGAGGATCTGGGCTGGGTGGGGGCTGTGGGGATGAAGAGGAGGGCAGTGTCTGCTGCGGGCAGGCTGGGCAAGTGGAGCTGAGCTGCTCGGTCCCCCAGCCCTCCAGCTCCTCCAACCTCTGAGCTCCTCCAGCCCCCCAGCTCCTCCAGCCCCTCAGCTCCTCCAGCCCCACAGCTCCTCCAGCCCCCTAGCTCCTCCAGTCCCTCAGCTCCTCCAGCCCCTCAGCTCTTCCAGCCCCTCAGCTCCTCCAGCCCCAGAGCTCCTCCAGCCCCCTAGCTCCTCCAGCCCCCAGCTCCTCCAGCCCCTCAGCTCCTCCAGCCCCTCAGCTTCTCCAGCCCCACAGCTCCTCCAGCCCCCCAGCTCCTCCAGCCCCTCAGCTCCTCCAGCCCCATAGCTCCTCCAGCCCCTCAGCTCCTCCAGCCCCCAGCTCCTCCAGCCCCTCAGCTCCTCCAGCCCCTTAGCTCCTCCAGCCCCACAGCTCTTCCAGCCCCTCAGCTCCTCCAGCCCCAGAGCTCCTCCAGCCCCCTATCTCCTCCAGCCCCCAGCTCCTCCAGCCCCTCAGCTTCTCCAGCCCCACAGCTCCTCCAGCCCCTCAGCTCCTCCAGCCCCCAGCTCCTCCAGCCCCTCAGCTCCTCCAGCCCCCAGCTCCTCCAGCCCCTCAGCTCCTCCAGCCCCCAGCTCCTCCAGCCCCCTAGCTCCTCCAGCCCCTTAGCTCCTCCAGCCCCCTTGCTCCTCCAGCCCCTCAGCTCCTCCAGCCCCCCAGCTCCTCCAGCCCCCTAGCTCCTCCAGCCCCTCAGCTCCTCCAGCCCCCTTGCTCCTCCAGCCCCTCAGCTCCTCAAGCCCCCAGCTCCTCCAGCCCCCAGCTCCTCCAGCCCCTCAGCTCCTCCAGCCCCCAGCTCCTCCAGCCCCTCAGCTCCTCCAGCCCCCTAGCTCCTCCAGCCCCTCAGCTCCTCCAGCCCCCAGCTCCTCCAGCCCCCTAGCTCCTCCAGCCCCTCAGCTCCTCCAGCCCCCTTGCTCCTCCAGCCCCTCAGCTCCTCCAGCCCCCCAGCTCCTCCAGCCCCTCAGCTCCTCCAGCCCCCCAGCTCCTCCAGCCCCTCAGCTCCTCCAGCCTCCAGCTCCTCCAGCCCCTCAGCTCCTCCAGCCCCCTAGCTCCTCCAGCCCCTCAGCTCCTCCAGCCCCCCAGCTCCTCCAGCCCCTCAGCTCCTCCAGCCCCCCAGCTCCTCCAGCCCCTCAGCTCCTCCAGCCTCCAGCTCCTCCAGCCCCTCAGCTCCTCCAGCCCCCCAGCTCCTCCAGCCCCTCAGCTCCTCCAGCCCCCCAGCTCCTCCAGCCCCTCAGCTCCTCCAGCCCCCCAGCTCCTCCAGCCCCTCAGCTCCTCCAGCCCCCTTGCTCCTCCAGCCCCCCAGCTCCTCCAGCCCCTCACTCCTCCAGCCCTCTCTGGCCTCAGTCTTCCCACTGCCACCTGGCCCATCTGTGGTAGGGAGGGTCTGCATCCTGGGATGCGGGTTGTTGAAGTGAGGCATTGCTCCTGGGCTGTGAGGGCAGCCGTGTCCCTGCCTCTCCCTGCCTGGTGCCTGAGCAGCCCTGTCCATCTCCTGAGGCCTCTGCGGGGAATAGAGAGGGGCTCCTTGTGAAGTGCAGACCTGATTTTTTTCCCCAAGTGATGTCTGGGCTCTAAATAACATCCCCAGGATTAATGCTGCCGGCAGCCAGCAGCACCAGGTGATTGGAAAAAGGATTTTATGGCCCCGTGGGTGAAATTGAACTTGCATCGAGGTGTATTTCCAAGATGGGATTTTCCTCCCTGGCAGAGGTGGCACATTTCACGCTAATTATAATGGCAGCTCCTCGACACTCATCACCCACAGTGGAGGGGGACACCCGTTTGGGGCACAGAGGCAGGTGTCCCTGGGGTTACCTCCAGGCCACCTAATCTCAGCAGACCTGGGGGGCTGGTTCTGGGAGATGTGCCCTCACCCAGTTGGGGGCTAGGCTAGGAGGGAGCCCCCAGAGTATGAACAAGCCCCAGCTGGACCACACTAGGGAGGAGGCAGGAAGGAGACCCAAGTCTGAGGGTGGGACCCAGCCAGCGGCTGCCCTGGGACCCACAGGCTCCTTGCTGAGCAGACTCCAGGGAGGGGCCTGGCCTATCTTGTTGCAAGGGTCTTTTATGGGGATGGGGAAGGCTATGGCAAGTCTTAAGGACTTAATGCCATGGGCATTCTCCTTGGGCCCCTTCTGTCTCAGCAGCAACCCATGCTTCTGCCTGACTGAACTGGAACAGAGGAAGCAGGCAGGGGTGGGAGGAGGGGCAGAGGGGCCGCAGCCACCTCTGCCTGGGCATGAGCACTGCCTCCCACATCCCTAGAGCGAGGGGCCACTGAGAGAAGGCACCTAGCCATCTTCCCCTGTAGACCTCCTCCAGTGCCCCAAGGGGGCAGCTTGGGGTTGGGGCTTGGCAGTCAGCCACAGGGGCCTGAGAGCATGCAGTGTGCAGAGCCTGCCCCCATGAGGTGATAAGAGCTACACTGGCATCCTACCCCAAGACTCCACATGCTCATCTGTGAAGGGGGAGATGCGGTGCCTGCTGCACAGCAGGCCACAGGGCCAAGGGACAGGACACAGTGAGGGGCCGCAAGGTGCTGCCTGGTGAGAGCTGCGGGCTGGCCTTGAGGGGTAGCCTGACCGTGTCCTCTCACTAAGAATAGTGGGAAGCAAGCCGATAACTTGGGCCCATAGTGATGGTCTTAGGTTGCCGTGGTCACATAATGCTAACTCCCAGTGCCTGCTGCCCCGCCCCGGGCTCCCCAGCTTCAGCCAGCCATCCACGTGGCCCATCCTGTCCTCTCCAGGCCCCTCTGTGTGCACCTAGTGGAGTATTTCCTGTGGCTCCCTGAGGCTGCTGGTCACAGGGCAGAAGCTGGGGCTGATGATGACATTGGAGACGGCCGTGGGGCTGGGCGGGGGCCCTGTGGGAGCACCACAGTCTGGGATCTGCAGCTGGGGCTGACCTAGCACAGCAGGCACAGCAGGCCACTGGTGCCACCTCTCACGTGTCAGGTGCTTCACAGCCTGCTCCTGCAATCCACCCAGCAGGCCTCGGTGCCAGGGTGGGCCCCATCCTGGGGACCGTTGAGGACCAGCACCGTCCACACGGCTCGAGAACGGGGCCATCCTGGGGCCCGGTGGGAGCAGCTGGAGGGCGGGTTCAGTCACCCAGGCCTGCCCAGGGACCCGCTCAGGGCCCAGGATGAACTGATGAGGGCAGCCTGCAGGTGGTGCCTCTGGAGCGGGGCTCCCCACAACAGGGTGGGCCCCAGGCAGCCTCACCCCAAGCAGGGAGGGAATGTGCGAGGTGCAGGAAACCCCTCCCATGTCCAGAAAATATTAACAATTAAAAATTGTAAATGTTGGTGACATTCCCGATGGCCAGATAAGAGCAGATAATAATGACTCAGCGCTTAATAATTGCACTTAGTAGTTTTCAAAGTAACTGTGATACAGAGAACTTTAAATGGAGACACATCAAAGTGGCTGCGCCCTGTGCAGCGAGGGCACCTTGGTGCTGGGGGTGGCCACATCAACTGGGCTGAGACTGGCCCCCCGGCCCGCCGTGTCCTGGTGCCTCGTGTGGGGGTTATTACCCACACTTGAAGTGTGAGGACCCACACACACACATGGGGTGAAGACCCTGCATACGTGGGCAAAGGCAGGGGTCTCTCCTAGCACTGGGCCAGGTGGGTAGCGTCTTGGTCTCTTCCTGTCCCACTGGGATTGTGGATGTTCATGGGGTTGGCTTAGGAGTCTGCCTTGCGCCTACAGGTGTTCTGGATATCTGGGCTAGTGGGTGGGGGTATCCTCAGCCCCGTGGGCTAGTCTCTGGTTCTTCTGTTGCCCCAGCCCCTCCAGGCCTTGGGTGAACCCCCTCCACCACCCAACTTGACCTGCCATGTTCCTGGAATCCAGCCCAGGGCTACTCCATTCACCAATTCTCACTAAAGTGTGAGTGGTTGCTTGGTGCTTCCCTAATCCTGGCTGCCACATGTGTTTATTGGAGTGAACCCTTCAGCTGCAGGGGGATGAAGAGTGTCATCCCAGGCAGAGCAGGCCTGCTCCCTCCACCCTCAGGCTACTGACTCTAGCCCTGCACAGTGGCTGGGAGCCGCCAGGAGCCCAGGTGGGGGCAGGACCCGGGGACCTGCTGCCCCTCACATAAGCCAGTTTCTTTGATCCTGGTTCCCTGCCCTGTCCGGCCTGCCTCCCAGCTGACACCACCAAGCGGTTCCCTCACCTCATCCTCTGAGCAGGACCAGCCTGAGTTGTTACAGCTCCTAGACCCCTCGAAGCCACCTGGTCCCCTATCAGGCTGAGGCTGTCCAGACATAGCCTACCATGAGACCCTGAGTGAACCTGCTGGCCTGGACACCAAGGATAAGGGACCCTGGGACTTTGCATCCCAGGGATGCTGGGTGCTCACCCACAAAGCCCTAGAGGGGAAAGGGGAGAGAAAGTCGGAAGGGCTCATGACCACCTGGGGTCCTGGTGGGGCCGGGCACAGTGGCCATCCCTACAATCCTAGCACTCTGGGAGGCCGAGATGGGCGGACTGCTTGAGACCAGGAGCTGGAAGCCAGCCTGGGCAACATAGAAGACCCTGTCTCTGTGAAAAATAAAGCAGCTGGGTGTAGTGGCAAATGCCCATAGTCCCAGCTACTCGGGAGGTGAGCCCAGGAGTTGGAGGCTGCAGTGTCATGATCCTGCCGCTGCACTCCAGTCCAGGTGACAAATCGGGAGCCAGTCTCAAAATTAAAAAAAAAGAAAAAGAAAAGAAGAAAGAAAGAAGGGCTCCCAGATCACCCTGGGGCCACGTGGGGATGGGAGGGCTCCAGAGGCCCCTGCTCTATTCTGACCACAGTGGTAATGACGGCTTCGGGCAGGACCACCCCGAAAACA